GCTACCCATTTTTCAGATGAGGAAACTGAGGCACGTAAAGGTAAAGTGACTCGCCCAAGACCACAGAATGAGTCAGCTACACAGCCTGGATTAGAACTCAGCACTTCTTGATTTTCTACCCAGTGCTCATTCCTACAGACCACGCTGCCTTTACTGGCCTTTTTAAAGTAACATGGACAAAGCACTATAAAATGTACCATTTCTACTGTACAGCAAGCAGGGCCTTATCGCCATAAAGTCATCTCTTTCTCTCCTCCCGATTGATTTGCAAAACAAAGACTGATTAAATCTCAGAAGCAGGACCTTCTTGGATGTATATCCTGCCTCTCTAGATCAGCTTTTAAGGATTACTATCTCAACTAATTATTAATACCTTCTCTAGCAAGCTGATTTAAAGAGAAGTGGCACAGATCTGTGTAATGGACCTATGGGGGAGACAGGACCTTGGATGGGTTGATCTACATTTGGTAAGTGCATCAGTACCATCCAGGTTATTTCATGGGTCCATCACCATGACGTTTGGGAGCCTTCCTGCAAAGCCCTTAGCAATGTGACTAGCATCTATCATGTGGCCCCACATTCATCCAGCAAAAATCTCCCCACCACCAAACTCATTATGGGACAAGTTTCCCAAATTCTTAGGAAACTCCGAACTTCTGAATCTATCTCAGCTCTGCTGCCTCCAGGCATGCCCACAATAGCAAGCCTATTAAAAATATTATGTTCAACAAGACACCTGGATTCAATTATTTTTTCCCTTTCACTCCAATGTTGTGTGTGGCCCAAATGACTGCAGTGAGCTTTTGTTCTCGTCCCTGTCTAAGGGACTTTGCTCAAGCACTATCGAAGGCCTGAAAAACAGCATTCACAACATTGCACTAACTCAAAAATCTAAAAACTTTTGCGGGACAGATGAGTGCTGAAAAATTAACTGTCTGGACCCTTCCTCTGCTGCATTTATTGCTGTCTTGGCAGATGAATTTCAGGTTGTTGCCACAGCCGCAAACTGCTTGTTCTGCCAACTGTACATTACTAACATTGGAAAGTGTCCAAACCTAGGAATCTTTTCTAAAAGCATTTGCTTCATACTTTAAATAACAGCCGCCAGGCGTGCTGGGGGATGGGGAGGGAGGGCTTAGCTGATATATGTGATGCATTTACAAGATTTCCTGCCTCCTTTTGGTTCCTCCACCATTTTGTGGGACAAAAAGAAGTAAGATCCTGCAGAGAGAGAGAGAGAGACACACACACAAAGATGATTTTGGGGAGGAAGAGCAGAGGAGATGTGACCTCTAAATCTTCAGGAGAAAAACTCTTCAAGGCTGACAGTGGGGGAAAACTTCCACTAGTGAGTGAACACTTGGCAAGAAGCGGCTGAATTGTAGATTGTTTCCATTCATTATGAGCTTACACCTGCTGGCTCCCATAACTTCACAATTTGCAGAGAACTCTGATAAGTGCTCTGCACTCAACACAGGCTTTCATTTAGGAATTTTCTAACAGAATTTAAAGGGATTTTGTCCCCTACTACTTCATTTAAATTCTCTCCGCCTCTGCTGCTCTGTTTGCAGGTTCAATGTAACATTTCTCCTTTCCCTGTTAATTATGTTCCCCATTGGGCAGATTATTTTAGTTTGCTGGTTTTTTTTGGTTTTTTTTAAATTAAGCATTGCAACAATAAAAATGGATTATCGTTTGTATATTTCCCTGTGTTAGTGTTGTGCTGTCCACCAAAAATGCCAACAGGTTATGTGTCCCAGTGCCAAGAACCCTGCCATACTCTGGCCATTGCTGGCAAACAAGTTACCTTCCACAGGTGGGCTCCCTAACAGACAACCAACTGGAGGCTCAGATGACCTTTTCGGTGCATGTGTGGTTTTTTAAAAGCTTGTCTTGCCTACATGCAATCACTCTATAGATATAGGTGTTTGTAACGTAAGACAAGCTTTACATATCTAGGTGCCCATTTGAACACCTGCATGTGGGATGTGGATTTGTAATTCTTGTGTTCGTGAACACCAGTTGCAGTGCATTAGGAGTAGCAGCACAGGAATGAAGAGCGCACAACAAACTAGCACACATTCTCACGCTCTCTCTCACACATGTAGGTGTCGTAAAACTAATTAATTCCTTAACATCACACCACTGCCAAGTGGGTACATGCCACTTGAATGTCTTGATACCACAAATAGACAGCTTTTCATTCAAGAGAGGGCGCGCGCGAGCCCATCTTAACCCATTAGGCTGCATAATGATTACAGATGGATGTTCTTAGACTTCATCTGTCCAACACGTTGCAACACATCAAGCTGCTGACTTGACTCGACCACCCAATGTAGTCCTTGCCCCATGTTGATGTAAAATGCTCCACTATTTCTGTATAAGCCTCAAGTCTCAGTCCCATCTCTATCCCTATGGCAATAAGCATGCTCTTGGCTGCTATCGCCCAGCTGTGGCATCAAGGGCTGTACCTGTGAAAGCTTTCACTGTGCCTTTGAGTGCTGTCATAGGCCACATTAAATGCACTCACAAGATGCATCTGACCCTTTTCCTCAGGCAGAGCTTTGGCTTCCCTTGCTCTAAACAGATCATAACGCAAGTCCTCTGGCTCTGCAGTAGATGCTCTGCCATTCACAAGGCTTCCGAAGCAAAACCAGAACCTAAGCAAGCAGCTGACACTAAGTGATTCTTTGACTGGGGCTACATAGAAATAAAGCAAGGGGAGAACAGAAAGGAGATAAGAAAACAGCCACCACATGCGTCACATTCAGTACAAATGCAAGTATTGAAAAAGCTTCTCTTGACCCCAGCACAAATGTACTGACATTTCAACATCTCTCCATCACCTTCTCACGCTAAATGCCTCTGCAATGAAATGTTTGTTAGCTAAGAAAATGCAGAGGTGAAATTTCATTTCTTCAGCAGTGTGGTGCAGTACCAAATAAGCCGGTAATATAGAACAAAGTTCAAGGAACAATATTTTTAAGTAGCGCTTGTCCTAGTTAATGTTCAGCCCTGCTGTGCAATGTCAAGAAAACTAATGAATACTGAAGTCAGTAACTAAGAACCTCTTAAGTATTTACCCACTATGAAATTCTTTTCAGATTTCAGCTGTAACCTGAATGAAATCTGAAAACAGTCTCCCTGTTTCTTCGCGACGACAGTACGGCTAAGTAACACACAAAACACTTAATCAGAGATGAATGTTTCACAACTGCCCCCCTTTCCCCCTTTTTAACTCTATGGAGTCCGCGTTCTGCATTTCCATTCCTAAAATAATAGTGTGTGAGGAGGATCCATGCCAGTGACGCCAGCACATACAACCTAAAATGGTATACTCACTGAAGAACTAAATAGGATTGAAGTTAGCGCGCACAGAGACACAAGCCTAGTACGGTGTTTATGAAATCTTCTACATCTGTTACAAGGCAACAATATTTAATTCTGAAAATGTCCAGCATGAATTTTGGCAAAAGGAATTGGCTGAAGCTTGGGCAAGCCTGTCTTACTGCTGTTACTAATGGGTGAAATTCACCCCAAGGACTATGTGATGGCTGCCCCAACCGGGCACCTCCAGAGCTAAAAGCATGAGCTGCTACAGAGTGAGCACAGCTGGGGGCTGTAACAACTCAGATCCTCTGCACACTGGCACAGAAGGGGACCTATAACACATACTCACTTGTGGGTTCTATATGCAGCACTTATGCCCGGTTTCTTAAGCCCTTTGGATTTATGTGGCGCATATGGTTTGGGCTTGATCTGCACAGGGGCGAACTTCAGCCCCGAAAGGAATACTTCAAGTGACTTTCATCTCAGGATACCAAAGTGCTTTTCTAACAATAAATTTAGCCGCACAAAGGTAAAGGACGGGAGAATTATCCCTGTCGATACAACGGCTTTAAATGAGGGAGAGGTAGGTCTTTTTCAGACAGAAATGATTCTTCTCTTAATTTTGTTTATGGTGCCCAGACACATCAGTGATGGATGGATAGGTAATGTTTAGATTCATTTTGCAAATGGGGAACCATGTAAGATGAAGTTAAATTAATCGCTCAAGGTCACACAATGCGAGCATGTGGCAAAGCTGGGCAGAAAACCCAGATCGCCTGACTCCCAGTCCTATTGCTGTAACAACTAAACCACTGCCCCACATCCCCAGATCTTCAGCACTGCAGAACTCCTTGGGATGCAAAGCAAAGCTTTCATTTATTGACAAACTGATATAGAAACAGCCCCTTTTTTTCTTTAAAGACCTCCTCATGCCATGTGGAAAGCTTGGAAAAAGCGTTCTATTCAGAGGGCATTCTGAATGTCTCCTTCCTCTTTTTAAATGACTAGGGACAATGGCACAAAAGTTGGTCTTTAAAGAGTTCATTGTTTCTGGTACTTTCTCCTTGCTTAAAGTCACATAGAAGAGAAGTCTGGTCTAGAATACAAGCACAAGACTGGGAGCCAGGAAAAATTTCCAAAATCTAATCCCAGCTCCAAACGCCACGCCCTCCTCAGCCTCTCATCCTACCCATCTTTAAAATGGGTTTAATGCATATGTACCTACCTCACAGTGACATCAGAGATTCATTAGTTAACACACTTGGTCCTGTAAACTTCACTTTTAAGAGCAGTCCTGTTCAAATTAATGGGAATGCTCATAGGAGGAAGGATGACTTCTGTGAATTAGAATTGGGCTCAGTGCTGGTAAAGCACTTCCAGGATAAACCAGATAAATGCTCAGCATTACCATGTGCAGCCTTATAGCGCTTAACAGATCACTCTGGAAACGAGGACATCATCACAAACAGAATATTATGACTTCAAGTAACCATCTGCAGAAACAAATGATACTTTCTTTCATGGAAATGCCTTACAAGAAGTGGGAGAAGAAAAACGAGAATTGTGTCTATGTCATGGTTATTGTTTGTAACTTAATCAATGCTGCAGATGGAACCTTAGCATGGTCTTTCTATCAGGCTCACAGCCACAGAGTTCAATTCAAGCCTTACCTTGTTCCAACCTCTTCATCTGCTGGATTTGGTCGACCGTCTTCTTTAGAATCTTGCATTTGTCTGGCTTGACACTCAGGGTGTCGATGTCACCAATGTTTGCCGAGAGCAGCTCCGCCAGCTCCTCTAAGTATTTATTCTCCTGCTCCCGGCGTCGTTTTTCATTGCTGTGACAAAACAAAACTCCAGGTTAATGACTTTCCCACTGCTTCCCCCAAACAGGCATGAGTGTCTCTAATACGCACCCAGAAACTTTTCTGCTTAGAGACAGGACTAAGCTGCAATCTGAATGTCTACAAAACGCAGGATGATTTGGCTCAGGCCCTTGTCTATTTTTATGCAGAATGAGTCACAGAATGAAAGCCCAGGAAGACAAGCACAATGCAGACTCAAATCATACATTCCTCGAAGAAGATCTCTTTATAAAAACCAACATTCAGGACTCCTTGCTTATTTCGGAAAGTGAACTATAAACCTGCAAAGCCACTTGGCTTGCCAAAGCCAGCATTCAAGCTGGTGCAAAGCAGTCCTAACTTCACACACAAAGGATCAACAAAGCCCAGCGAAGTCAACTAAAAATAAAATGTGAATCAACAGTGGCAGGACTGGGATGAAAAGCAGTATTGCTATTGGTATCATCCCAACAAATGCCAACAGCAGCTCTGCTCCTTGAGGTCAGAGCCAAAGGAGAGGGCCAAATACTTCTCCATGAACTCTTTCCCTATGGCAAAATTCAGAGGTGTGGACAAACTGCAAACAGCTGAGCTGTAAATTGGCTCTCATGAGAGTCCCTCTAGAGACTATAACATATTTCTGTGCCAGAGACACTGCGAGCAGGAAAAGTGTGTAATGAACTGCGCTGTGACACACACATGCCCCCCTCTCTATCACTAACCTCTACTGGGTGGAATCAGAACTGCTCAAATGTGCATCATAGGCCTTATACTGTTAGCAGTATAATGGACTAGTAAGTAAAAATGTACATATACACACTATTTGCTAAATAAAAGTCCTTATAAAAACAGTCAAATCACCTTCCTTGCAACCTTTAGAAGGACACAGAATAATAAATGATTTCAGAAAATACTGTCTAAAAATGGATTATTCTCAGTAATTAACAAGCTGGTGTGACATGAATGGTAGGTCACAAACAAGCCACAATTTTGAAACTGAACTAGAACAGTTTCCAGATCATAAGACAAATGCTACAAGGTCTATTCATCGGATGGAAAGAGACAGGGAAAATTAAAAGGAATATGTTGGGGACTGAAAATTATCTGAGCATGCAGTCAAGTTCTGTCTGGCAAGTGCGGGAGGTTGTGCAGAGGAACAAGCTAAAGGCTGCAAAAAGTGATCAGTTTCATCTTCTGTATGTGGCAGTCACTGTTAAAAGTGGACACATACAAAATGTTTACGACCAGCATACAGCTAGCAGCACCCTGATATGTCTGCAGCTACTGCTTAGAGATTATTCCATTCCCAAATATCCAGCCAAGTACACACCCACACCCATAGGAAACTCTATGCACACACTGCACAGATGTTCCGGGGTTTACAGATTTGTTCCTTTTTCGTATTCAATTCAAACAATATTATTAATTTTTTTCTGCTAGCCTTGACAGGTGTGCACTCTCCTCTTCACTCTGGCTTGGACGCTCTGTAAACAACTAACAATTGCACACACTCCTAGATGGACCATCATGCCCCTCACCGTTCTGGAACTCTGGCTCTTCCCTCGTGCCTCCATTAGACTGAGGTTCACCTTCCTACACCTTCTTGTCCTTTCTCCTCCCCCAAACCACTGCACATAGGGTTGAGAAGCCAGAGCGTTAACTTTCTGATCAGCTGACACAGCAAATCAGCAGCCAGCTGGTCTCCCAGAAGAATCTGTATTTTGAAAAAAAATCAACTACCTGACTACGGGCAACTCCACAGCGTGGAGAAAAGGAATAAAATTTCTGGTCTGGTTTGCCAACTCTATGTAGCTTAGATTAAGTCAAGCTCCCTGTTAAGTGACAGGTAACAAGTGACTGCTAGGCCTTTTCAGGGAGACAGGCAGCACTGTCCAATAACTTTTACAGGATCAGATAATGATTGGCTGCTAATTCAGGAGTGTGTACAGTTAGTCATTCTCCCAGCAGGCAGCTGACCACAAAGTGGTAGCGGTATCATATCCAAGCAAATAGTTAAATGTTCATGTGAACAGGCTAGTGGCAAGTTTGAGTTCCACCTTCTGCAAAATTGTTGGCTCTGTCCAGGCTATCATCTTATCCTCTTTTTGTAACCGGTATCAGTGAAATCTGAAGTAACTTGTGCTCTAGGAAGTGACCCACTTACATCAAGGGAAGGACTAAACTGTGCCCAATTACATTAGCTCCAGGGATCTAATGTACTTGGCAGGGACCTAGAGGTACGTGAAAGAGAACATCTATCTGAAAAGTGTGATCTCCCCACCCCCACTCCCATATGCATTTCAAAGGAGATGATCTATTAACACACAAAAAGAACAAGAGTACTTGTGGCACCTTAGAGACTAACAAATTTATTTGGGCATAAGCTTTCGTAGGCTTCATCAAGTGGGTTTTAGCCCACGAAAGCTTATGCCCAAATAAATTTGTTGGTCTCTAAGGTGCCACAAGTACTCCTCCTCCTTTTTGCTGATACAGACTAACAAGGCTACCACCCTGAAACCTATTAACATACAGTAACTACTCAACAGAGCATGCTGTAGAGAGGCCAATACATTTTTTTGTTAAGTTACCAAAGAGAAATATGGGGCACAATGCCAAGGGTCTGAGATTTCATAAGTTAAAAGGTAAAAGTTTGAATTAAAGAAAAACAAAAAGAAAAAGAAAGAAAAACTGCAATCAATCTGTTTGCAAAAACAACTAAAGCAAATCTAGTGGATCACTTTATAAGCAAGTCACAGAAACACCCCACATGCCACATTGAGCCATGCAGATGAATACTGAGCAGCAACCAAGTTCACTGCAGTGAGTCATTTTGCAAAACATTCAGACTCACACACAGGTGGGTCCTCTTTGCTTATTAAAGGGCAGGTAAACGTCTCAATAGAGTCGAATAGGTATTTCAGTTAAGGTCAAATTAATTTCCTCCCCTCTTTGCAAATCAAAAGGGAAAAAGCAGAAAAGCTGCTTGTTGTGGGTGAACTCATTTGGTGAAAAAAAAACTTAATGTCACTGTTGCTGTGGCAACTTTCAAGTTGTGGGAGGGAGAATAGGCCAATTTTCCCTGCATAAAAGCATCAGGAGAATATTAGAGCAGTGGGCTGTTCTTTATGACTCTGGAGTATCATCACAGTAACTGTGAAACCGTCCAGGCTTTTACACAGGAATTCTGAAATTCAAGAAGCTCCGTAGCACGCTATACTCCAGCCTTTGAACAAGATGTGGAGCAGGAAGTTGTCTCTGCCAGTCACCGGTGGAAGTTAAAACATCTCATTAGCACTTTCTGAAGAGAGGAGGATATAATGCCGGGGCACTGGCCAACATTCCCTCTCCCGGGGAAACACATTCCAGTGTCTAAATCGGTGAGAAAGCTCCTAATAGCTGCCACGTTTGCCTACAGGTATCCCAGTAAGCACTTTGCAAAGTGCTGTTCGATACCTTATGTGTAGGGGTCTACTTAAAATGCAGAGAAATCACACCATTTTTGCGGGTTGGTCATGGCATAAATAGCAAATTTTGCAGATGTGTTACACATCTGTGAAATTTCCTATTTATGCCATGACTGACCCATGAAAAATGTGTGATTTCTCTGCAGCGTTTCTCAAACTAGGGGCCCGGACCCAAAAGGGGATCGCAAGCCTATTAGGGGAGTTGCAGTATTGCCACCCTTACTTCTGCGCTGTTGCTGGTGGCAGAGTTGCCTGAAGCTGGGAGGCGGGAGAGCGGCAGCTGCTGCCTAGGTGCCCAGCTCTCAAGGCAGCACCACCGCCAGCAGCAGCTCAGAAGGTTGGCAATACCATACGTCCGTTATTTCTCTACAGCTGTTGGCCACAGTACTGCCTGCAGACCTGGGCGCCCAGCCAGCAGCCACTGCTCTCTACTCTGCCTTCAGAGCTGGACGGCCAGAGAGAGGCAGTGCTGCCGTCAGCAGCTGCAGAGAAGTAAGGGTGCCATGGTATCGCAACCCTTACTTCTGTGCTGCAGCAGCACTGCCTTCAGAGCTAGGTGCCCAGACAGCAGCCATCGCTCTCTGCTCTGCCTTCACAGCTGGGCAGCCGGAGACCATATTTCAAGGGTGAGACCATTTTTCACAGTCCATGACGCGATTTTCACGGTCACGAATTTGGTAGACCCCTACTTATGTGTGAAAGGAGCTGTAAAATCCATTCTACTGTCCTAGCCTGCTCTTACTCTGAATATTCTTAAGGATTTTCTGTATCTGTATAGTAAGGTTTCTGAGGGAGTGATCACTACAGAGTGGAGAATGAGAAAGTTAGTTAGAAAAGACAGGTTTCAGTGGTAGCCGTGTTAGTCTGTATCAGCAAAAGGTGCCACAAGGACTCCTCGGTTTTTTTAGTTAGAAAAGAAAATGCATGGCCGGTTTAAGGGCTTTACTATTGGGCTGTGAGCCAGGTTTCTTAATAAAGAAAGGAGTTATAATAAATATATGAAACAGAACCATGCACATTCTTATTTATTTAGGCAATGGAGCCTTCAAGAACAGGCATACAGGCCTTCTTCGCTCCACACAGACACTAGACATGGACTGTGCTTGAGGGACTGTAGCGGGGTGATTACCCCGCTCCTGCCCTGAAGGGCTTAAAACAGCCAGGGAGAGGGCTGTGGCAGGGAAAAGCTGGGCTGATTGGGGAAGTAGCCACAGCTGGGCTATGTCCCAATCAGGCCCAGCTGGTCCCTATAAAAGGCCGCTAGCCAGAGGCCCAAGGAGCAGTCTCTCTCTGCATTCAGAGAGAGAAGGGCCTGGCTGCAGGGAGCTAGAGACAGAGTACCTGAGTGGAGCAGGGCTGGGGACAGGCTGAGGAGCTGGGGAGCTCCAGCCTGGAAAGCCCCAGGCTGCGGCCTAGCAGAAGGCCAAGGGGTACTGGGGTTTGCAGAGGGCAGCCCAGGGGTAGGCCAAGGCAGCAGGTCCAAACCCAACCTTGCCAGTGATGAGTAGGCTTATACTGCAGTCTGCCCCAGGGCGTGGGGCTAGACGATGACTGGCAGTAGCCTTATACTGAGGTGAGGTGGGGATAGTGGGTGGGGGTTCCCCAGGGAGGGGAGACCCTAAGACTGAGGGGTTACTGCCAGGGGGGCAGCGCCCCAGATAACAGGGCACCGGGGTCCTGGGAGGGACACGGGGCCAGTGGCAAGGCGGATCACCGGCCTGCAGAGGGTGTTCCAAGGCTGGGAGACCTAATTCCCGAGGATGACCAGCAGGAGGCACTGTGATGGTGAGTTCCAACCCCGTTACAGGGACAAAGGGTGTTAATTTCTAAGGGAATGATCTGGCTCCACTTGAAACACTAGAATTAATGGGACTGGGCTCTAAGGCAGACTCAGGGTTTTATGCAGGCCTAGTACAGGTGGTAGAGTTTTGATTCAAAGATCTGCTCTCCTACACAATGGCAGAAATGGCAAATGTCTCACGGTACCATAAAGTCTTTGCTAGGGATGGAAATAAGTGCTACCAAAAAAGTGTTTCTTATAGAATTACTGCAGTTTACACCAACTGTATTGTTTGATTTTTTTTTAACTTGATGGCATAGTTAGGCTATGAACCCAAGTCACCATTGCAATTAGGCACTGCTGGAAGACCTGGAAATTCTGTAGAAGATTCACTGCTAGAGGAGGGGAGAGGCAGTCACTGAAAAGGTGAGTAGAAACTATCTGAAGTTAATAAACAGAATCATCTTAAATCTCTTTACTAGATTATTAACTTACTGCCACTTATATTTACAGTCTAGAAACTGTCACAACTTCAGTCAAATACAAAATGTCCATACATGTGCAAAACTGACAAAGCAAACACTGAGCATTGTCCCTGCACATGAGCAAAACAGCTTCATAGATAGCAGTGGCACACACTTAACCGTGGCACTAAAATGCAAAAAACTCTTTCCTAACATAGGGTGCACCAAAAAGGAAACAGCCAGACTTGACAGATTCACACCAGTGCCACCATTTTAGCTACAATGCTCACAACTACATAAATCAGGATGACATACATGTAGGATTTGCTTACCATTAACCAACTGGCAGCATAATGGAAAAATTACTGGGAAAGCCACACACAAAGAGTAGATTTCTAGAGCAAACTGAATTATGAAAGGAATCTGCCATTAGGGCTGTTTGGACAATCACATGGAAAGGACTATAATTTAGACTAACGTGTCTCCTGAATGTACCATGGTGTAAAAGAATCTCATCACCAAGGTCTTTGGAACCTGACGGAAATATGCATTGCTTGGGCACCCTGTAGGGAGGCATAAGCCTTGGGCTGGCCTGAAGAACTCACACACGGCTTTGACGTTCACAAGTAATGCAACCATCCCTAACTCATACCAAGAAAGCCCTCTCGCTATCTCCCCATGCCACCACCAAGTGCTCTCAATTTATAAATCAATCAATTAACTTTGATAATGAGCCTCTATCATCAGTTGCCACCTAAAAGCAAGAAGAGCAGATGGGAAGTTATATTTCCATCATGTTCCCTCTTCCACCACAATCACTAATAAAAGTAGAGCTGAGTTCTGGTGGGAAGTGTGAACATTTATGAGTAGATGAAACCTGCTCCATCTGCTCAAGCAGACGGGACAGAACGATGTGGTTAGAATGACAAAGTAGCCACGTGGGAGAAATGGATTTGGAACAGCGCACGTACCTCTGGGCCAACGTATCACACGGCGACCCCTTCCTCTTCCGGGAATCAGGGTTAGCAGGGTCTGTTGAACTGTCCCCAAGGCCACTCATGTTGAGCTACTTTGCACCTGTACACAAAAGAGAAACACGAATCAGGAACCTGACAGGGGGAGCAGCTTACAACCAGGTAATGAATGATTCATACACAGGAATGCCAGACAGCAGGAATCCAGTGACCACTGAATAGTAAACTAGTCCAGCAGCCAATTGCTCTTAACGTTAAACATCTTCTCCCTAATCTTCCACCAGAACACGGTACCTTCTTCAGTTTACGCCTTGTCCCACCAACTTGTAAAGGAAGCTTAAGTAGAAAGCACCGCAAGTGGAGAAAAGAGACCATGTGTATTATCACCTTGAAGGTATTTCTCTCACACAAGCCCTCACCCTCTATATCCCTTTTCTTCTATACGATATGGATTGAGCTCCCTCAGTTTCCCCTGCCCCCATAGCTTTTAAATCTGGTTCTTGAATCATTTCCATGGCCCTTCTCTGTTTTTTCCCCAATACCCTCAAACAATAAGGTTAAGCACTTGCATCTGAAGAAGTGAGGTTCTTACCCACGAAAGCTTATGCTCCCAATACTTCTGTTAGTCTCAAAGGTGCCACAGGACCCTCTGTTGCTTTTTACAGATTCAGACTAACACGGCTACCCCTCTGAAGGTTAAGCACAGCACCCACTAATCCAGATATGATCTTCATAGGGCTCTGTGCATGGGAGCATCACCAGCCTTGTTATTATGAGAGCACTCTATATACAGGGGAGAACTGATTTTTTTTTTTTTTTTTTTGGCAGTATGACACAGTTAGGTGATTTTCAGTTACTCCTTTAGCATCCTCTGGTTTCTCTGATTTCTAGATAGCTGCCCCACCCCCCTCACATTTGCGTCTGTGCTATCTACTCTCTCTCTCTGTATATGACTTTACATTAATTGGAAATAACTCATCTTGTTGGATGTAACATCTCCCCCTCACAAAAAAATTTTTTCATCATCTCCCTTTGCAGTTGGACTTCTGTGTTTGGTACCTCTTCCATTTTGCATCAGTGTTGATTTAAGACCTTCCATTAGTGTAGAGATTCCCAGACTGTGGTTGGTAGCCACTAGGCGACTGGTCGCATGGCAGGCCAGTGGCGCTCTTTGTTTCCAGCTCCATTAAAAGAAGCTTTTTAAAAAAAAAAACAACCTATTATCATTGTCCCATGAATGCAATTGCTATAGCTGCTGCAGTGATGTTATGGGACTGTCGACGGAAGGAGGTGGGGTCCATGCAAGAGGACATAAAAGAGGTAAGTGTACTTTAAACACCCATTCTGTTAAGATGTGGTCCGCATTAGGAAAGTGTTTGCAAATCCCTTCCCCACAGCTTTAATCAAATTCCTAAGCAGTGAGGGTTACAATATCCCATTTGCTACCACTCTACATGCATCTGATGAAGTGAGTATTCACCCACGGAAGCTTATGCTCCAATACGTCTGTTAGTCTATAAGGTGCCACAGGACTCTGTCGCTTTTTACAGATCCAGCCTAACACGGCTACCCCTCTGATACTCCCCAATTAGGAGTTTTTAAAATACAACCATACTTATTTAAACAAAGAAGTGACAAAATTCCAAATATACTGACAAGAATTTTCAAAAGTAACTGGTGATTTGGGGTATTTCAATACAGTACCTGATATTACTATCCTGCAATTTCTCCATATAATGTAGGCCGCCTTTTATTTTATTTTTAATATTATTTGTACTACCACAGCATCTAGGCACGTCAGTAACGGACTAGAACTCCACTGTATTAGGTGCTGCACAAACAGAAAAATAAAAAATGATCTCTGCCCCAAAGAGTTTACAATCTAAGCAGAAGAGAAGAATCAACAGATGGATACAGAGAGATGGGGGGAGTACAAGGAATCAATGAGGCAACATTGGTCAGCATGATACCCAGTGGTCTCTGCACACCAGCAGTCTAACGGTTACGTTTTTTGTAGACAACAGAGCAAAGGAGTGACTTTTAAAGAAGGATTTGAAGGACAATGAAGTAGCTTTATAGATGTTTACAGGAAGCTCCTCCCAAGGGTGAGGGGCAGCATAGGAGTAAGCATGAAGGTACTTGTTTAAAAATTTAACAAGTGGGCAAGGGATGCTGGCATCATGGGCTGATCAGAGATGGGGATAGACATCTCACTGCTGAATCAGAGAGGATAGGTTGTGTAGAACCTTGGATGCGAAGACAAGCAGCTTATATTTGATTCATTAGAGAAGGGGGGAGGGAAAAGAGGGGGTAACATGGCAAAGCGATGGGCGAAGGGGAATGATCTTTGCAGCAGCAGTCTCAATAGACATGAGCGGGGCAAGATTGCATTTGTCAAGGCCAGAGAACAGGATGTTGCAGTATTCGAGACACAAGATGGTGAGTGCCTGGATGAGAGTTTTAGATGTATGGATGGATAGGAAAGGCCGTATCTTAAGGGTGGTTAATTAGCTTTCTTTCTAGCACTGCTAAAATCCAGGCCACCCGTTCTCTTAAGTTATTAAGCTATATTTTTAAAAGTGGGTTATTTAAAAAAAAAATTAAACACTTAAACCAATTTGAGAGACAACCCCTTCCAGATACTTGCCTCATGGCTTTCTACACTCAATGACACACACAGAAATTCCCAAAACAAATGATCTGGTAGTAGTGGGGGACTTTAACTACCCAGACATCTGTTAGAAAAGAAATACAACAAAATACAACATTTCCAATAAGTTCTTTGGAATGTATTGGGAATAACCTTGTGTTTCACAAGGTGGAGGAAATAGGCAGCAGGAAAACCATTTTAGACTTGATCCTGACTAACAGAGGAATTGGTTGCAAATTTGAAGGTGGAAGGCAGTTTGGGTGAAAGTGATCAGATTTCATGATTCTACGTAAAAGAAGGAGTAAGAGCAGCAGAATAAGGACAATGGACTTCAAAAATGCAGACCTTAACAAACTAAGGGCTGGTCTACACTTACCCCCCAAATCGAAGTAAGGTACGCAAATTCAGCTACGTGAATAAAGTAGCTGAATTCGACATACCTTACTTCGACCTTACCGCGGTTCAGACGCGGTCCACACGCGGCGGTCAGGCTCCCCGTCGACTTCGCGGTACTCCTCTCGCTGAGCTGGAGTACCGCAGTCGACGGGGATCACTTCCTGGTTCGATTTATCGCGTCCAGACCAGACGCGATAAATCGAACTCGGAACTTCGATCCGCAGCCGTCGAACTACCGGGTAAGTGTAGACTAGCCCTAAGAGAGCTGCTACCTAAAGTCCCATGAGAAGAAAATCTAATGGAAAAAGAAGTTCAGGAAAGCTGGCCGTTTCTCAAAGAGATGTTAAAGGAGCAACAGCAAACTATCCCAACACAATGAAAAGATAGGGAGACTAGTAAGAGGCTAAAGAGCTTCTGATTCAGGAGCTATATTGATTACTTGACAATAAAAAAAGGAATCCTACAAAAAGAGGAAAGAATGGACAAATTGCGAAGGAGAAGTACAAAAGAATAACACAAGCAAGTAGGGACAAAAGCAGAAAGGATAAGGAATTTTCCTTAATGACTTAGATAACGGAATGGAAAGTGTGCTTATAAAATCTGCAGAGGACACCAAGCTGGAAGGGGTTGCTAGAACTTTGGAGAAAAGGATTAAAATTCAAAACAACCTTGCCAAAAAGAAATATTCGTCTGAAATCAACTAGATGAAATTCAGTAAAGACAAGTGAAAAGTACTACACTTAGGAAGGAAAAATCAAATGCACAACTACAAAATGGGAAATAACTGGCTATGCAGTAGTACTTGGGTATACAGGTACAGTGGATCACAAATTGAATATGAGTCAACAATGTGATGCAGTGTTATTGTAGCTGTGTTGCTCCCAGGATATTAGAGACACAATGTGATGCATTTGAGAAAAAGGATGTTATTATTCTGGGGTGTATTAACAGGAGTGTCATACATAAGACATGGAAGGTAACTGTCCTGATCTACATGGCACTGGTGAGGCCTCAGCTGGAGTACAGTGTCCAGTGCTGGGCACCACCCTTTAACAAAGATGTGGATAAATTGGAGAGAGTCCAAGGGACTGCAGCAAAAATGATCAAAGGTTTAGAAAACCTATGAAGAAAGTTTTAAAAACTGGGCACGTTTAGTCTTGAGAAAAGAAGGAGAGGGCGGGGGAAGAGAGACCTGATAACAGTCTTCCAGTATGGTTAAGGGCTGTTATAAAGAGGACGGTGATCAATTATTCTGCATGTCCAATGAAAGTAGGACAAGAAGTAAGTGGCTCAGTTTGCAGCAAGGGAGATTTAGGTTAGATATTAGGAAAAGCTTTCTAGCTATAAAGATAGTTAACTACTGGAACAGGCTTCCATGGGGGGCTGTGGAATCCCCGTCACTGTAGGTTTCTAAGAACAGGTTAGACAAACGCCTGACAGGGACGGTCTAGGTTTACATGGTCTTGTCTCGGTGCGGGGGGCTGGACTAAATGACCTTAGAGCTGGAAGAGTCCTCGAACATTTCTATGATTCTGGGACACACTTACTCAGCTTTGTATGGCTTGACAAACCAGCCAGATACTCTCAAAGGGTCAGATCCCGCAAGATGACAATCACTCTCGACTCCCACTGGCTTCATAAAGTTGGGCTCTAAGGGTGGGATTTTCAAAAAAACTCAACACTGGCATAAGCCCTGCCCCCACTGCAGGTAGTGATAAAACTCCCATTGACTTCAAAGGGAGCAGAGTTAGACCAACACTGAGTCCTTTTGAAAACCTCACCCTACATCTTTAAATGCCTTTTATGCATGCTCCTTTCAAATCTTGTGCAATATACTAGTGGAGAGAGAGAGAGAGAGAGAGAGCATGTCTCTGTCTCCTTTCCAGTAGCTGGTCCCTGAGAGGGTAATGGCCTACTACTGCTACTGTTTATGGAGTTTCTCCTTTAGTTCATGTAGTAGAGATGTGTGCTGTGATGCTAAAGATCCTGGATTTAAACCTATCTCATGAGCCATTGTGCTTGCTATTTATTGGTTAATGCATCTATTCTGAAGTAAA